GTTTCTTGGAGTAACACCACAGTTTTCATTACTGAAGATTTATAATCAGTTCATAAGTGCAAGACTTTCATAATTGTTCTTCTAAATTGTCTTATCATTTTCTGACTCTTGATAGTTCTACTAAAATGTCACATCTCAAAAATTTTTAGGCCTTCTAAAAATTAATCTCATCAATAATTTGTAGAATAGTTTCTATGTGTTAGATGAATTTTAGTTATATTTTAATTTATATTATTTATAATTTTACATTAAAAAATTGTCATTACTGGTACATAGAAAAACTAAATTTTGTATATTAATACTACATTCAGCATCCTGATGGAATAACTACTTTAATAATTAATACTAAGCAATATTAATAATGATTAATACTGTTAATAGTTTATATTAATATCAATAACAAGTAATGATAATTACTAAATTATTAAAATTAATAAATTGTGTATTAATTAATCAAATTAATTAGTTTGGTTTTTAAATAAATATAATCATATTGTTAGTGACTTAATGGTAGTCACTAAAATATATATTTTATCTGTTCTTATTTCCCTTATTGCACGGCTAGGACCTTACAAATTTTATTTGTTAGTTTTAATACTGTTCATTTTTTAATTTTACAGATGATTTTTTAATCTATTGAGATATGAGTTTGATTTTTTATCTTTATATTGTTAATAAGGTGAATTTGCACAGTTGGACTTTTAAAGTTAACTAACCATGCATTCTTGGTGGGCGGGGGGACAACCTGTTTGTGATGTGCTATTGTTATAAATAAATTGCTAGATTTCATTTGCTAATATTCTTTTAGGATTACTGTATTGATATTTATAATAATTAGGCTTTCTCTTTGTTACAAATAAATTTAAATGATTTCAGAGAGGAAGAGAGAGATGGAAACATCAATGATGAGAGAGAATCATCGATTGGCTGCCTCCTGCACACCCCGCCCCCGCCCCTCCCCCCACCCCCTCCACCTCAAGGATGGAGCTTACAACTCAGACATCTGCCCTGACTTGGAATGGGACTATGACTTCCAGGTTCATAGGTCAGTGCTTAACCACTGAGCTTCATCAGACATCAGCATCAAGATCAAGCTAGTTTCAAAATTTATTCTCTTTTCTCTGAGAGGATTGGTACTATTAAAAGTTTGAAAGACTTTAGCAATGAAGCTATCTAACCTGGATATTTATCTGTAAAAAGAGGTTTAAAAATTTATTCAGTTCTCAGCCCCTCAGCAACTGTTTTCTGATAGAATTCCTAGAATTTGATCCTATGCCTGTGAAGATTCAAAGTCTAATGAGGACCTTAATGACTTTTTTTTTTTAAAGCTCCTGACTTCTTCTTTCTAGTTTTCTGCTTTCCAAAATTCAGCTAGCAGCTTAGCAGCTATCTTTCCTCTGCTCTTGAGAGTGGTGTATACCACTTCCCTGAATAACATATGATAATATGCCCAGGGACGAAACCAGGGTTAATATGGGGCTCATTGAGCACTGCCCTTCTTTGAAGAATTGCAGTTATGGGTCTTTGTTACCAGTGCCTGAAAACTTTGTTTTTTTATTTTATTTTTATGATTTTCTAAGGCCAAAGCTTATCTTTAAATGTCTTTTAGGTCTTAAATTCCTTTTTTATTCCTAATACCACTTTATTATACTTTCTCTCTTTTCCATTTGTACTAGAGGATTATCACATTCTTATTCTTTTCAAAGAAACACAGTTGCCTTTGTTGATCCTCTCAATATTTGCTGTTAGTTTGCTATTTTCTTTCTTCAACTTTCTTTTAATCTGTTGTTTCTTATTATCTTCTTGAGATGAAACCATTCTTAATAATTTTTAGCATTTTTATTTTACAAATATGAGCATTCAAGATTATAAATAGAATTCTAGGTATTGCTTTGGCTACATCCCTTAGAATTTTCTATGTAGTGTTTTATTACTCAGTTTAAATAATTTTCTAGTTTTTCTTTTGTGTTTGATTATTTGATCCATAGTTATTTAGTAGTATATTTCTTTTAAAAATATATATATTTTATTGATTTTGTACAGAGAGGAAGGGAGATAGTTAGAAACATCGATGAGAGCCATCTATCAGCTGCCTTTTGCATACCCTCTACTGGGGATATGCCCGCAACCAAGGTTCATGCCCTTCATGGAAATGGAACTCGGGACCTTTCAGTCCCCAAGCCAACGCTCTATCTATTGAGCCAAACAGGTTTTGGCTAGAAGTATATTTCTTGATATACAAACACATGTAATACTCTATGTTATTTTCAAGCACAACTACATTTTATTTAGAGGAAAAATACTCTTATAATTTAAAATATTGGAAAACATTCTGTGAGTAAATACTTAGTACATGGTTGATTTTTATAAATTTCTGTGTCCTTAAAGGAATGTGTAATCTCAATTTCCTATCTATATATCCAGTAACTGAAATTTATTAATTTTATTATTTAAATCTTCAGTATTTTATTTATATATTTTGAAGCAATGTTAAATAGTGATTTAAATTTTTTATTGAATTTCAGCTTTTATTTATGATGTAACTTTCATCTATATAAATACATTTTGCCTTCAAGTCTATGTTTTTCCATATTAATATAGCTATAGGTTTTTTTTCATACTACATTTTTCTTATCCTTTTACAACATTTGTGAATAGGTTTTTATATGTATTTAATTTAACAAGTTAATACAATTTTTATGTACTTAGTTGTAAATCCACTTTGATTTTTTAAAATCTTTTAGCTGAATTATGCAGCACATATATATTTATTGGAGTAACTGATATGTTTTTGTTTAAAATCATGTGATTTTTAAATTTATCCTTATAGAGCTGTTTCATTTTTTTTGTTGCTTTTTTTTTCACTTATCTTTTATTGGACTAACAGATGCTTTCCTATCATCCTATTTCCCCCTGTCTTAGTTTAGAAGATATAAGCCATTTAAAATTTGTTTTTGTAGTTACCCTACCATTATTGCAATCACTCCTTGCTTTTCAAAGTATTATATTAACTAACAGTTTACCTTTCTCCCTGCAAATATATGATTTTTGAAAACCTTGATTTCATCTGCTTTTCTCCATAATGATTTATTATTGTTGTCTTATAACTTAAAAAATACACAAACACAGACAATCATTATTATCCTGTTGTTTTATGAACTCAATATTTATAATGTTCATTTAGGTTTATTCTTATTCCTGGCATTTTCTTCTTTCTTTCCTTCTAGCATCTCTAGCTTTCCATCTGGAATTATTTCTCTAATGACTAAAAACAATTTTCAGAATTTAAAAATTCCAGTTTTTTATCCATTCCTCCATTGATGGACATTTAGGTTGTTTCTATATCTTGGCTATTGTGAATAATGCTGCAATAAACATGAGAGTACAGATATATTTTTGATATCCTATTTTCATTTCTTTAATTATATACCCAGAAGTTGGATTGCTGGATAAAGTAGTGGTCCTATTTTTAATTTTTTGAGGACCCTCCATAGTATCTTTCATAGTGACTATACCAGGTTATATTCTGAGATCCACTATTGTCATATTGTCACTTGTGCTTTTTATTTTTTTATTTTTTTGCATTTTCCCCTCATTTTCATAATTTAATCTTAACATTTTCTTCTAAATTTATCTTTCAGATTACTATGCTCTCTTTCAGCTTTATCTAAACTTTTGTTAAGCCCATTTATTGAGTTCTTATTTTTAAGTCATGTTTTTTGCCTCTATAATTTTCAGTTTGTTCTTTTTTCTTTTTGTAGTTGCAGGTTATCAGTTTTCTGCCAATATTCTCAATATTATCTTTTAATTCCTAGAATACTTTAATTATAGTTACTTAAATTCTTTGTCTATTACCACTACCTAGATTTCCTATAGATCTTTTATATGGTTTAATTTTTCTTTAAAAGTTTTCAGTTATATCTTAATATCTTGCATGCTTGGTTATTTTGATTATATTAAACATTGCACACAATTATAAAAACATATCTAGAGCCTCTAAATGGCTCTCCCATTCTGCAAAATATATTTACCTCCACTTTGAAAGGCAATTAGGGTAGAGACATCAGCAACAGAGTCACCTTCATCCAATCAGATATTGAAGTGATTTGAATCTAGGCTTCAGTACCTGTCAGGGCTGGTTTAGTTCTAGTTTTTACTTACTTACTTACTTATTATTATTATTACTTTTTAGGATGCAACCATTTGGGAATCAATCTGAAAGCCAGTGCATGTATCAGAGAAGTTTCTTTGTACTCTGAATTTTGTTTTTCCAACTTGTACATCTATTGACATATCTGCTCAACTTCTCAGTTTCTCACCCTGCAGGAAATTTGCCGTTATCTTGATTGAAAAAGCAGTTTCAGATACAGGGTTTACCCTTGATGGGCTTTCCTTATCTCCTTAGAACCCTGGTATCTCTCTCGTGTCTTCAAACAGATATGAAAAAAATATATTGTGCCAGATGGCACATTTGTTTCCACTGAGAGAATTGGTCTGAAACAATGTCATCTGCTATTGGTAGATGAACTGTGACTCACTGTTTTACATATTATAATTTACTCTTCCCCACAACTATTTCCAAGTGTGTCTTTTATTTTTTATTTTTTTTATTTTTTTTAATGTTTTTATTTTTTTTTTAAGCAATATGTTTAATTGGGTGATTTCCACAAACTCTACACGAAGCCTCTAACCAGGACAATTCAGTGGAGTACAAAACATTAAGTTACAGGGTGGAGAAGGCAGCATCGTGGTGGCACCTTCCAATCTCGGTTGGCCTAGGGGTAAGGGGTAGAGGAAGGTTTCTTTTTAAACCAAGGCCCTCATTTCAATGTACAAAAGAATTACTCTGATGGATATTAAATTGTATTGAAAACAAAATGGCCTAAAAAGCAAATACTATTCTATTATATGTTGGGGTGGAAGTGGGAGGAAAGAATGAGTCCTTCAAAGCAGGAGGGGAGACAGTTGGGCAAAGGTTCCGTGGCTGTGACCGCAGGCAGTCACTCTCGCTGCTCCATTTTTACTCTTGGTGGTCTCAGGAAGGTCCGATCTTTCTCCTCTTTCTTCCCCTTTGTATTTGCTTGGAAGTTCCGCCAGCTGTCCACACGACCATCTCGACTTTCCTCGAAGTTTTTCTGCCACTCCCTTTCACGCTTGGCTTTTTCTTGAGCTTCAATTTCTTCTTCCCTTTGTCGCTTCCTTTCATGCATCTCTTTGGCTTCTCTCTCCTTCCTTTTAATTTCCAGCTCAGCAAAGAGTTTCATGGTCTGTTTTGTATACCGCTTGCTTGAATAGCTCTGGATCTTCCTCCTCTACATTTGTAGGTTTTCCTTCCTTCTTTAATTGCTTTTATCGCTCTTTCACAGTGTGTTCCACGCATTCTTTTCCTGCCTGAATTACATCCAGGGCCCTCTTCTTTTGTTCCTGATCCAGTAGCAACTTGTAAGCTTTGTCCACAGCTTCAAAAGCCTTTTGTGCTCTGTCAGCATCATCTTGATTTTTGTCAGGATGCACCAAAATGGATAACTGCCAAAACCTCTTTTTTTATTTCTTTATCTGTCACTTCAGGATCTATCTGAAGAACCTCAAATGGGTTCAAATTGAAGTAGGAGGAACCAGGACGGGTCAATCTTTCAATCTGATTTTTGGATGTTAGAACTGAATCTCTTTTCTCTATCTGTTTCACCTCACTGTGAAACATAAACGCCTCCTCTGTGCTCCCTTCGCTGCCTGAGGCTCCGCTCTCTCCAGAAGCCGCCATCTTCCCCCTATCTTTTATTTTTTAAAACATAATAAGTGTAATTGCTTCACAAACTGTATCTGATAATTTCAATATCTGATGCATGTCTGTTTCTACTATCTGCTTTTTCTGTTGATTCTTGCTTGTAGTGCCCTATTTCTTTCTATGTTTGGTTACTTTTGCCTGCATACTGCAATTGCATTTGAAAAAATATCTATTTTGAGGCCAGGATGAAGGCACTTTCCACCACATTTACATGTGCTTTTCAGTAGTGCATACGGGTGAGCCCAGTAAGAGGCATCCTTAACCTAACATAAAACTTGAAGTTCTCAGAAATCTCTAGAGAGCAGATCTGCTAGAAGGTTGGCCACGGGCAACATTTATTCAAAGAGCTTTTTCCAGCGTTTCTTTTTGTCTGCATCTTTCCTCTGGTACCTACACAACAGTGCTTATAAATCAGTTTTACATTAGGTGCAATACCCTTTGGTCCCAAATTAATGAGAGGGAGAGTCTCTCCCCCCATCTTTCTGCTTTGGGGAGGTTTTAGGCCTTGACTTGCTCCTGTCTCTGCCCAGACCACATTTTGGCAAAATGGGCATATAACCTCATGTGTCCAGTTTATAGTCCTGTCTTTTGTTCTCCGCTATCCTTAGGGTTGTATGTGTACTTCTTTATTAACTTTCAAATAATTTTTAAAGGATTTTAAAATATTTTATCCAGCATTTTATCATTGGGAGATTTGGTCTAAATAAAGTCATCATTATTGGAAATAGAAATGTCATATCTTTTTGTTTTTAGGATATTGGGAAAAGAAAATACGGTCTTGTGATATATACTGCAGGAAATTTATTGAATTTTTATGTTGTGATCATAATGCATGGTTAATATAGGTACATATTCCTTTGAGACAAATGAGTGTTTTATTCTTTTTTTGGGTACAGTGTTGCTTGTGTATATCATTTTTAATTATATGCCCATAAAACCAAATCAATAAACATTTATGTTTTTGCATGTACTTGTAGCATTTAATATCCTCATCTTTTTAAAATATATATTTACTTCTTTGTTATGTGTTTTATGTATCCATTTCCAATATATGTATATTAACATATTTTACTATGATGATGGATTTTTTGAGTTATTTTAAAAGTTATTTTAACATTTTAAAATTTATATGTTCAGGTTGATAATGAAAAGAGAAAATAGCTGGCTATATGAGGGGAAAGCCAGCATCAGCAGTGGGATAGCAAGTGGCTAGTTTATGGTGAAAAGTTTGGAGGGTTAGAAACACCAGGATGTTTGGATTTTTGTGTCAAGGTCAAGCTAAAATATAAATAATAAACCAATAGTAGCTCCTGACATACATACTTTAACTTCATTTCTTTGATGTATTTTTTCAATTAAAAATTGTTAACAAATTAAGTTTTGTTAACTCTTGATAAAAACCTTAAAAAATGTGTAATTGACATTAATTTTTTTAAGTAAATGTGTGGGGAAATGTATTGTTGTATGCAGATTTCCAATGGAAATCTGCAGATGCTCACATAAGAATCATTCTTCCTACTCTTTTGAATAAACATGTTGCAAGCCCAGTACATTTGCATACCCAAGAGAATCATTGTTTTAAAGATATGGGCTATGAGCACATGTTGTTGACTACCAGATTATGAACACGAGACTTGAGACATATATTTTTCAGGTGTACAGCTTGAGGAAATTATTGAATACTCAGCACAAATGCTATATCTTGGGGGAAATTTGGAGAACTGTCGGTGCTACTGTATTTTGAATAATCAGTCCCTCCAGCTCTCATTGTGACTGATAGAAAATTTATTTTATTTTCCCTTCAAAAGGGAAAACAAAATTGTAGCTATCTTACTGCATAGTTTGTTAAGCAATCTCCATTTTGTACTCGCATTTAACAGATGTTTTGAAATGGTTAAGCCCAAAAGCCTGTTTCAACTCATGAGTAATTGATAACAAAATATATTCCCATCAGCTAGCTTAAAGTGTGTGTGTGTGTGTGTGTGTATATATAATATTATATTAAATATATAAATAAAATATAAACTTAAAGACATATATAAATGTCTCACTGATAGCTGAAACATACAAAGAAAGAAGTATCAGTATAAGACAATGTAATTCTTGTTTTATGGGTAAGGAGTTATTAAGCCACATATTATATCTGAATGTTTATCTTTTGTAGTTGATTATGGTGGAGATGACAGATGTTGAAAAATGTTTAGATATACATGATGCCTAGCATCTCCCATAGATCTGTTAGGCTCAAGTCCTTATTCTACCTTCAGAATCTAATTTTTATTAAATTGGCTCCAGGTCTTCTTTTTCAGAGTAGCCTTCAAATAGCTAAATTTTTCAAAATATGTCCAGACTTATCCATACGTCTTCTTAGAAAACAGCTACTTCACATTGTCCTCATATAAGACAACCATTCAGCTGGGTTTGCCCAGGCCAGGAGTAATTGTCACTAGTGTCCCCTTATGCCCTCAAAAGGTATAGTTTTGGATGATAAATTATATGGCCACACTAGATTTAAAAGGCTAAGATTCGTAATAATCTGAAGGAAGAAAAATTGGTCTAATATTATGTATTCATGAGCTGTAACCCTACTAATTAAAGCATTCCATTTTTTTAATCAAACATTTTCCCCCTGCTCTTTGGTCTGAAGCATATCCTTTCTGTTTTATTTAGAAGTATATTAAGGGTTCTTTAGTTTGGCAATTTTGGAAAATACTACTGTCTTCTATAATTTAATTAATGAATTCAACCCCAATCCTTATCTCAGACTTTTTTGAGGGAGAGGAAGGAAATATCTCCATATTAATGGTTTATCCTAAAATGAGATATGGAAATCAGGGACCTATCAGGTACACCAGGAAAGTGAGGCGTTTTCTATTATAGGAAATACAAGAAGCAGTGAAAAGATTGTTGAGCACGAAGGCAAATTCTGATAAAATTCAGCTACTTTTTGCTCCTGAAATGGAATCTTGGCTAGATGTAATTATTGTATGCTTGAAATTGAGTTCTGTCCCACATCTTCAGGCAAATGATTTCCCACATATTTATGATTTGCCTTTACAGTTGTTGATATTGTATCTGTTGTAGCTTATATTAAAACATTCCTTTATTCTCAAATTTTGTTATGTATTTTTAAATTGCAGAGTATAGGGAATATAATCATAACCCCCCAAACAAGCAGGTATATTCCAGAGAAACAGTAATAACATACATGCATGCCAGTTAATGTCAATGAAGTAGATATGTTTTTCTTAACACCTCGTAGATTTTCCCTCAATAAAAAAAAAAGCTACGTGTTAAATTTTTTATTAAGCTGCACATTTTGACCTTTCTTCCCATTCACGGTTTGTGTCTACTCTAAGATGGGAATCACTTCACTTCCAAGATAAGACACCTTCAGAAACCATTTCAATTTTACATACATTTAAAATTTTTAAATATTTAAGAATTCTATAATTGTAAATTATTGTTCCCTTTCAAAATTTGTCTCAAGAGAGCAGATAGATTTTTACTTTCAACTGCACATGGATATGTTTTTCTTTCTGAGTATACCTTCTCGATATTTTTTTTTTCCCCACAGAAATTTGGAATTTCGTTCCTCTCGTGTTTTATTGAAAAGGCTCTCTGCCATTATATCATGTCGTTTTCCGGTTTTATCCCTTTGTCTGAAGGCCCATTGCAGTGTGCCTATTAAAGCACTTCTAGACAGCGAGAGAGAAATGATAGCCACAAGAGTATCTCGTCGTCAAGATTGAAAGAAAGCACGTAGCTTTCTAAACCACAAACGCCCGTGAATGGGGGGCAGGTTATTGCCATGACAATCCTAATTGTTGGAACTTGATTCTTATTATGGTCTCGATTCCGTTGAAGTCACCTTCACAGCACGCGGAGACGACGAGTCCCTTTTAATTTCTAGGCAGGTTTTGGAGAACATGCGTAGCCAAGACTCATCATCTCCTTTCTTTTATTGTTGTTGCAATAACAAAACACATGGTCAAGGGGGTGTCTTAAGTGGAATTGCATGCGATAGGCATGCAGAGATGGGCATGGAGGAAGACACGCTCCCTTCGACCCCCGGAGGCTGTTTCTCACAAAGGATGGGGGGCTACGTTTTTCAATGACAGCGCTTCCAATTACTGGCAGATGATGGGGCCAGGGGAGCTCCCTCGATGGGCTAATTTACCGACTGCAAATTACATGTCTCCTTTTTTCTTCTCCTTCCCTTTTTTTTTTTCTTCCGTCCAACAAAGCCTCTGTGTGGCCTCTGGGACGGGGCCGCCGGAGGGCCCTGAGGTTGTGCTCCATGGAGCGGGTGCAAGATGGTACCCGAGACTGATTGATGCTGCGCGTTTGAAGCTGGCGCGCGCGTTTGAAGCCCCGGCATTTGAAGCTGTCGGGCTTGAAGCTGGCGCGCGCGTTTGAAGCTGCAGCATTTGATGTGGCTGAGGACGTTTGTAAATTTGAGACAGACTTTAATATTGTTAGACCAGTAGGGGAGTCCTTTTCAACCCCCTTTTCATTATTATTATTTTTTTTTTGCTTGAACTTTTTTTAAAAAAAAAAGTTTTATTCAACTCCCCCCCCACCCTCACCCCCAACTATTTTAACTACTTATGTCAGCCGAGGAATGCTGTGATTCACAGCCATTGATTGTAAGGAGGCTGTTATGTATTTTTTTTTTTTTTTAAGTGCTGCTGGGACCATAGGGATTCTTGAGTGGCTTTGACTGGATACAACAATGTGGAGAATAAGCCCAACTGTGAAAAGTGCGACTATGGCCAACAGAACAAGAACAGAATCTTTTGGGGAAGAAGAAGAAGAAAAAAAGGCCATCTCCTTGTTGCTTTTAGAAGAAGGCCTGGTAGGCCCGCCATTGCATTTGCAAGATGGAGGAGGTTAGGTAGAGGGTAGAACAAATGTGTGTGAGTAGACAGTCGTTGAGGATGCATCGGTGTAGGAATTAAATCTGCAAGTTTTTC